AAAAGAAACTATAAAAACCCCTGTAACTTCACACAGGGAGGACCGTCCTGTAATTCCTGGCTGTCTCTTTCTCCCTTCACCTTAAAAACCAGTTCTGGCATTTGCAGATGACGTAGTGAGTATCTGGTCAGATGAAACTGCTGATGGTCGGATGCCACCTGAAGTAAGTTGTATTTACAGACAAACCTGACCACAGCCCACATCTCCACCTTCCCACAAGCTTGCTGAACGCTGTCCCTGGCTGTCAGCTGGGACGTGGCCCCAGTAAGTGATGGCATGCATTTCCCACAGGTATGTGCATTTACCCCCTGGTACTTACACATCATTATTTCACGTCTTCTGTAACGGCTGGACCCACACCCTCATGCTGCTGTACACCCCAAGCACCCTCTGTAAATCAAGTCTTGCACAATAATCTTCTGCTATCAATACTTGGAAGAGCTAAATTCTGTGTGGTGGGAAAACACAGCTTCTGCCTCTCTCAGCTTGGGTGGAAATAGGCTCCAAGTTTGTGCAGATGAGTGTAGGGGGGGAAAAAACCCTTTCTTTCCCAAGGGAAAGGATGGCTGCTTCAGTTTACACGCTGGATACAGCCTGCAGCTGCAGCTCAAACTGGAGCAAGCAGCCCTCGTCCCATAAAGGTGAGCTCTAATTTTTTGTTAGTGTCATCCAGCAGCGTAGGGTAAGCTTATGTGCTGCACATTAAAGTAGCTGAAGGTCCTCAGAGTAAAGACAGTGTCCTGTGCCTGCCCTCTCCCCACCATCCCCTTCCTGCCTCCTCCCGCGGGTGGGCAGGGGGGAGTCCGGCGGCCCCGCCAGGACCCAGCGTGAGCCCTGCGGAGCGGGCACGTCGGTGTGCTGTGCTTGGGCACTTGCGTTCCCACCTCGACCCTCCGGTCAGCAGCGCTGTCTTGTGGAAATGCTTTGGAAAGCAGCTGGGAAAATAAATTTAGATGGGTAAATGAGAATTTTAAGCAGACCGCACAGCATCGCCTCCGTGGTTTCTGCCTGGGGGTGTGCTCAAGCAGGTGACTACAGCCATTGCCAACGCCGGAACCCTGCGTGACGTGGTGGGGAACAGTCCCCCTTGGCCTGAATGACACTTACAATTTTATTTTTCTTTTCTCCCTGAGCAGTACTGGAAAGCATTGCCAGCAGTGCATTGCCCCCAGGCCCTGGGTTGAGGACAGTTGTTAAGAGGTTCTTGCTGAGCGCAGGGAAGCGCTGTGGAGCGAGCAGGGAGGACGCAAGAGGACAAGAGCAAACGCAGGCTGGAGGGGTCTGACTTGCAGCAGCCGGATTGAGATATGGCCTGGTGCTAGTTCGGTAAATTGTTTAAATGATATATTAGCAGCTGTGATGAAGACAGTGTCTGGAAGGATTAGCATCATTGTCTTTTCAGCCCTGGGATACTGGTCTGGATCCAATATTGTCATTTTGATGAGAAAACCATGGCAAAACATGTCGTCACAATTACTGCAGTTAGCAGGGAAGGCGTGTGGATGTCCCTCTTCTATGAGTGCACACTGCTTTTCTGGCTCACCAGTTAGGGCAGAGACTTGCAAAATAATCCTGGCTTCATTTTGTTGTGAAGGTCGAGCTCAAGGCTGTCGAGACTATTGGAGATCTTCCATTGAGGAAAAGCCAGGTCAGGAAGATGGTCTTTAGCCAAAGGCATGAAAAAGGCATCGGAGCTGAGGCAGAGAACTTCAGTCTGGCGCTGAACTTCCCAAGAGGTCAGAGGCATGTGGCTCTGGGGCTGCCTGAATCCAGCTGGAGAGGGTGGACCACCGGGAGCTTGAGTGTTTTTACCTGAAGCAGAGAAACGTGGAATGTTGATGCTGGTCAAAATACCCTCCAAAACAAAAAACCCCTATATTGCTATGCCAGTGTCGTTGCTGTTTTTCTGGATCTTCAAGAAAGAGCTACTTTTAGCTAAACTAGTAACACTTTATGTATGGTAAAATCCCATTCTCTTGGACATGAATAATCTCAGTAATAGTTTTGGTAAGGTAACTATTAAAGGCTTCTCAGACAAGCTTTGGGCATTTTGCTCATTTTTGAACGAAACGTGCCAACTATAAAAGCCAGGGCACGTCTGAACTGCCGGGGTGCAGCTGAGCTCGCCGGCAGCCTTGTTAACCCTGCGCTTTAGCGAAGAGGCGGGTTGCCCTGTCCAGTTTGTCTCTGCTTCACTCCGCACACTCGGCACGTTGAAGGTGCGACCGTGGCTCTGACTGACGTGCCAGGCTGGGAGATGCCGGCAAGTTTTCCACAGGGAACCTCGTGGCTGCGGGCGGCACCGATGCTAGCGGCAGGTCGCGACGTTCACGGGATGGCGGTCCTCCGGTCGCGGCGGGCGTGTTGGTGCGGTAGGAGCCATCCGCGCCCGGCTTTCACGCCTGGGTTGTGGAGCGTGGTATCAAAGCCAGGCGTGGGCAGAAGGGGCGGCCGTGAGCTGCCGTGGGTTACGCTGTGCAAGTGCTACCCGCCCTGGCTTTCACAAGCCGCCTCGTACCCTCCTTCCACGGTGATGCCTCGGAGCGAAGGGTCTGATAGAAGCAAACATTTCTGTTTTCGTGAGCTTATTTCATGCGCTGGTATGACCTGCCAGCCGACTTTTTCCGAAACACATTATTTATTTTAGCAGCATTAGCAGATTATCAGGGCTGAATAAATCTGTGTGTCTGAGTCGGATGGATTTCCTGGGCTCTCCGTCCATAGGAGTTTCTGTGTGCCTGCCAAAAGAGGGGAAGCTCAAGGAGAGGGCCGAGCGCTGGTGTGCGAGTGCGACAGCCCCGTGTTGGCTTCTGACTGTACCGCCAGCCCTGCCGGGACGCGGGGAGCCCAGGCTGCTGGGGAGCCCAGGCTGCTGGGGAGCAGACGTGTCCATCTGGCTTGGGGGAGAAGATAATGCTGTACGGCGAGGGCGTATTTTATAGAAAAGGTGGCAGACTAATTAATGCTTGAAAGAGAAAATAAAATCCGTTGCTTTGGAAGCAGAGACTCCCATTGCCGTTTGGGGGAGCGTTAGACCTGCTCTGCGCTTCGCTGATGTGCGGCTTTTGGGCAGGAGCGCGACCTGCTCTCTTGCCGCACGGTGTTGGTATTGGCATGATTAGATAACGCGAGTGTTCAGGTCAGTAGGGCTAGTTGTTTTCGCTCCTGTTTGGAAACGGCTTTCTCAAAATAAGCAATATCTGTGGGACGTAACGATTGTTTGTGTGGACGGAGGAGTGTGACCCTCTAGGAGATGCCCCAGAATAGCGGGTAAGGGTCACACTGATGGAGGGAGCTCACTGGATTTTTAAGGTGTTTACATGAGGCTCTGTGGGGTCAGGATCCCGTGGCTTGGCAAAGGAAATGTGGCTCAATATCTGTAACTAAAACTCAATAAAAATAAAATTGAGGGAGCTTACCGCCAATGGTAACTTCCTATAAATGACATTAAGATGAATTGCACCTACACCGAGTTCAACTTGCAGCTAAAGAAATATATTAGAATGGCATTAAATCATTGCATTAATATTAAGAGGCTAAATCTGTACCAACTCAAATAAATCAAAAAGGGGTCTGCCATTTGACTGTGAGTAATAGTTAAAGAATTTCACTGCAACTGTTCAAATCTGCATCTTGCCAAGTACCTAATACCGAAACTGAATCATCTTTTTACTCCTGGACACAGTGTAGGACCAGAAAGCTTTCTTCTGATACTTTTCCTGCTGGCAAATATTTTCCCGCTTCCTGATATGACTGATAAAAGTCATATTTTATGCAGAGAGAACAACATCAACAAAGGTTTTTCCATAAGCAGCATTTTGAATCCCTAGCGAGAGAAATCACAGACTGACCCGAGCTGCATGCTGCAGCGCAGCCTCCCAGGACTTGAGGTGGACCTGGACTTCAGAGCTGTGTTCTCTAGTCCGTTCAGGTGTGGCTATTTTTAGGCTGGGAAAACTCTTTCTCCATTACATAAGCAATTTTCAGAATTTTGGGGGATTCGGAATTGGTAAATCTGTAACATCCCTACCTCAGAATACACAAAACTGAAGATTTCATTCAACTCTCACTCTTTTTTATAGGAGAATATTACTCTGTTGATACCCGTTTATGTAAAATTTAGTGTTGAGAAAATTAATAACAGCATATCGTTCAAGATAAAGCTGCAAATTTAATTTTAAACTTCTTTAAGCTTTCTACCTTGAACCTAGGCTTTAGCAGAGATAGGATTTAAACCTTTTTTAGCCTATGCTGATTTACTTGAAGTACGAACCTTTAGAACTGCCCTCCTACTTCTCCGTCTTTCTTTTCTCAGCACAAGTATCTAAGCAGGAGCTTTTAGAGCCGAGGCAGCTGCTGCCCCGTGCAATGTGTTCCCATAGCAGTGATCAAAACCCAGCTGCGTACGTTCCTGACGTGTAGGTAAAAGCGGAGGTTTTTGCTGTGCAAAACGTCTCTATTTTGAGGGGTTTGCAGGGAGGGCTGTTCGCTGCGTCCTAGCAAGCCCTACGTGGGACAAGCTGACGAGTGATGAGTGCTTTCCTGGCTCAGCTTGTCCCTTTTGGTGTCCTGTCCCAGTGTTGCTCAGAACTGCCGGCTGAAAGAGCACAGGACCGAAACCCCATTAGTGCTCATCTTGGTTCTTTACAGAAGGCAAGTATAAGCTGCGCTTGGAGGGCTTAAACTCCTTCACGGCCTCAGAAGTAACTTTGTACAATTAGTTGACGCCTTGAAATATGTCTTCATTATATTTGTTCCAACATCTTCCAGGCAGGCGGGTCCGAAAGTGGGAGTTTGTCACTTGGTTGTAGTTACTGGAGAGACATCTTTAGTGCTAGGAGAACTTGATATGAAAACTGTCTGTTGTGATTTCATTAGTAGATTCAAATACTGATGTCTCTTCCCCTGCCCCTCCTCTCTCCATAACTGTCCCAGCTTCAGTCCCCTCGTGGCAGTGCCAGTGCCGCCGTCTCTAACCCTCGGCATCTTATCTCCAACAGGTTGGCGGGACGAAGACAGGAGTTGTGCGCTACGTGGGAGAGACGGATTTTGCCAAAGGAGAGTGGTGTGGCGTGGAGCTGGATGAACCGCTGGGGAAGAACGACGGAGCGGTTGCTGGTACCAGGTACTGTGCGTTCTCCCACCCAGCCCGGGGCATGTAGGGTCCTACACGCCTCCGAGGGTGGCTGGGGGCCAAGGGCTGCTTGGACCTGGGAGGAAGAGTTAGGGCTGTGTTTGGTTGGACGCTGTGGGCCGGGAGGAAGAGTCCAGTTTTGAGTCTCTTGGGCTTTGGGATGGCTTTGCAGGGAGATCAATAGAAACCTCATCACTGGAGCATTTTAAAGCAGGATCAGGTAACGTCCGTGAAGAAGTAACCTGGGTGGCTTCAGGAAAGGGGAGAGAGTAGGGAGAGAAGATAACTTTGGGATTTAGTTTTTGCTAGAAATTGATTCTGTGATTGTATTAGCTCTGCTTTCTACCACACGTTCCTTTCATAAACTTTCTTCTTGCGCTATATCTATAATTCACCCTGTCAGAACTATAGAAGATGAAGATTTGACTCTCTTTTTTTCCCCTCAGCTTAATGTTATTTGTTCTGGTCTTTCTGGGGACAAATTTCCAGAGATCTGAAAGAGCAGTTGGTGGTCGTTGTCTGTCCTTGTACTAATTCTGTAGCGTGACAGCTGTCTGCTGATTGATCTTACCACCTCTGACTCCATAGGCACCTCCACTATTTTCATTTTCAAAAAAAGCCCTTGTTAGTATCTATAAAACTGGGCGGGGACATCTCGCAGGCTTGCTGAGAAGCTGTTTCTGTTCAGGTGGAAGTTAGGTAAGGGAATGACCCCCAGCTTCAGGTCTTGAGCTTGGGGATGTTCAAATCTGAGTTATACAGCAGCACTTTGACCCTGCTTCAAATACAAGTGGAACTGATTCCTTGCCCTTCAACAGTATTTCCCACTAAAGGAACTGGTGATTTCTTGGAGCTTCTTAAGGGAATCTTGCATTAGAGGTGAGATTAACTTTGAAACTGAGGAGCTGAGAGTTCCTCCCTTGTTAGATCTCAGGCTTTGTAACGTAGGTTTCTTGTGTTGGGTCAGCCTCGTTTTGTCCAGCAGCCATGTATTTTCATTTAAAGTAAGAGAAATGCTGCCTTGTTCAATGTCAGGACAAGAAAGCAGTAAATGATTGGCAGCAGATGGCTGAGCTCCAGCCTTTTCTCAAAAGAAAAAAACTGGGATGGTAGAGAATAAGTCATGGAGTGAATCCAAGTCCCTGCTTTCTTTGTCATACACTACGAATTATCTCTAAGTTTAATCTTCAGGGTGCTCAGAAATTATTTATTGTCTCTGTGCATGTGAAAGGCAGATGTGAGTGCAAGGGGGTGCTTTCTGCCTCTTGTCCTCACGCCTCTCGTCCTCACACCTTTCTTGCTGTGTTTTGAAAATCCAAATTTTGGAAGTCACTTATCTCCTGAAACTGCTACATCTTGGCTGAGGTTGTTCTGGATGTGCCCTGTCTGCGAGGCTTCTCCTTTGTTTCACGCTTTATCAAGAGCAGGAAAAATTGAGCTCCACAGCAGGGATCGGGGAGCAGGAGTGAATTAAGAGGTTTGGATTAAACAGGGGAGGCTGAGGGAGGTCTAGGGCATCCCTGCCCCTTGCATCCAGGCTGATTTTGCAGACCTCTAGTGATAAGGGATACTAGCCGATACAGCAGTGGTGCACGTGGACTCTCCAGCTGAAGTGTGCTCTGGCCACCAAGCATCTGGCTGCAGCCTTGCAGCGTTGTCCCTGTTTGTCCTTTGAGCCTTCATCCAACCTTCTGATATTCTTACAGCATGTGCCGATTCCAACAGCAGTGTTCTGGAGGAGGAGCAGACATAGTAAGACTAACTCCCTCGGTGCATGCAGGCACCCCTCAGACAGTCTTTCCCCATGTTTGCCATGGCCACACGGGATTCCTGATACTGCTGTGAGCTTGTCCTGCCAGAATCGGTCTGGGCAGAGAAGGTCCAGGGACTGGAGTCTCTCTGCTTTGGTGGTTGTTGCCATCTAGTGAGCATCCCTGGCCTGGCTGCCCGAGACCAGCGCTTGCTGCCGCAGCGGCATCTGCTACAAAAGGAGAGTTGAGTCCAAAGAGCTGACTGAGACAGTGGAGGCTGGTGGAAGTAGGAGAGGCAACATGTAGGCAAATGAGCGAGCGAAGGACATTGTCACCGCCTTTGCTGCCATGGATGACTCCCGTTGAGTTGGTGGTGAATTGGCTGAAATTTGTAGAGGGTCACTCGGATCTTCCTGCAGGTTCAGGAAGGGGCTCCGGGTCTGGGTGTGCATCAAGGGAAGGTTGAAAGGCCAGGCTTTCCCGAGCGGCTTGTGGCTCTCTGGTGGAGGCTGCCCGCAGGCCGTCGTTCCGTAGCAGTGCCCAAGAGGACAGGGTATCGCCGCTGAGCCCCGCTCCGTACATCAGATGGGATGCTGAGACACTGAGCTTTGCTGTGTCCGCTCTCCTGTCTGTGCAGGAGACTAGAGAGGTGCTGGTGTGGGGTTTTTTTTCTCTTATCCACAAAGTTAAGCAAGTTCCACTTACTCATCTCTAGTGTATTAACCTCTAACTGTTCTTCTTCTATTTTACTGTTCTTCCTTCTCTGCCTCTGCTCCTGTGGGAGTCTTTGCCCACTAAACTGCTCATACCTTTGCTTTCACATAGTCAGCCTTGGACACTGAGGATTTTTTTCATCTATTTAAAAATTTTCTGTGCTGTTTCCCACCTGCAGTTTGCATTGCCATCACACCACCACTTCTATTCCCTGTTTCTTTTCTCTAACATGAGTATAGAGCAACTTAGCACTCAGTGAGAGTAGCTCCTGGTTTTCAAGCAGATTTTTTTCTGCCAAGTGTTCTGGACCCAGTTCCTGCTTCTGAACTATAAAAGTTAATTGCAACCACTTCCAGTTTGGACTAAAAATGAGCATAGTGATGCAAGTTTGGGCTTGCTAAGAGCTGTCAGGGGGCTTTTGAGGGACTTAGCCTTTGGCATTGTGCAGCCACAAGTACCAGTCTATGCTTAAACCAGATCGACCTGTGGAAGGGGCTGTGCCGTGCTGTTGGTCTGCCTGGGCCTACTGCAGTTCGAGAATATGATGCTGAGCAAGGGCTTTGGCTGGTTTTGCAAGAGGTGAGACTGATTTTCTTCCTTGGGTCCCTGTTCTGCAGTGAGGTCAGCCTGCGATATGGCTGATTTTCCAAACCCAAGGCAGCAAGCGGAGGGGGCTGAGTGATTTTGGGTTGTAGGGAGGGTTTAAAGATTGTTATAGAGAAAATTGGGCTTGAGCAGATGTTTGAAAATGAATCACTTTCTCATCTGGCTGGAGATCAGGCTGGTCTCTGGCCTCCCAAGCACACAGAGGTCTGCCTGTGACACAGCAGTGTGCCTGCCAGCACTTAAAAATAAAAGGGAATTGGGGAAGCAGCTGCTCACATCTGGAGAGAGGACTAGTGCTAGCAAAGCTGGATTTGTGTCATTTATTCGTTAGGACCTGTTTTTTATGTTAACATAGGACAGACTATTATATGGCCAATATTTAGTTCTAGCCTTGCTACAAAGCCTGTGAGAAGGAACGCTTAAAGGAGATAGTTTTCTGTGTTAGCTACTCCCTTGAAACAAGGGGAGGCAACGCCGGGCGATGATCCGGTTTTACTTGCTGCAGTGCAGCTGGCCAGCAGCAGATAAACCCTGGCTTGAGCTGGTCGGCCCAAGCTCTGAAGGGGTTTCCAAGGTTTGACGCTATGGGTTTTGGCTTATTTGTATTCTGGAAGAGGGCTCTAGGGAGACATAATCATTGGGCTCGCTGCAATTGTGGAAGAGAGCTTGCACTGTAATTATCTGATCCTCCCTTTTTTACGCTTGCTTCTTTCTAAGTTTGTTTGCGTGGGAACCGGTTTCTCTTTCTCTGCAACCCAGAGGAGGTGGCACACGCTGGAGTTTGCTGTAATGGTATTTTAAGCTTCAAAGTTAAGGGCTGACATTTCCCCCTTCTGTTTCGTGAGGAAAGATTTTTACCCTATAGAACATTTATACAGAGCTATGTGATTCACATCTTTTTATTTGACACGCTTGACTACGTGACTTTCTTGCAAAGCAGGGTAGAGAACACACGCAGGTTTTGGGAAGGTTGGTTTATAAGGAAGAGTGCATGTGCTCTTGCTGTGTTTCTGTACGGGGATCTTTGTGCCATCCAGGCTACCAGATGGGTCTTTGCTGGCGTCCCATCCAGGTGTGCAACAACTCGTGCATGGCGATTATCTCTGGTCTCCCCGCTTAAGCACCACAAGTGAAACACAGAGATTGCCACTACTCTTTAAGTGGCAGGTAGGGAGAATAATCCAACCACTTGCGTGCAGGAAACAATGTCACAGCAAAGCACCAAGAGATGAGCTGAGGGCCGGGGTTGCGTATTGCTTAGCGGTGTCATTCTGCGAGGCTTGGGTGAGATGGGTGCTCTACCAATTCTGACTTGATGCGTCTCCTGTATTACAGGTATTTTCAGTGCCCTCCCAAGTTTGGCCTCTTTGCTCCCATCCACAAGGTGATCCGGATCGGGTTCCCATCAACCAGCCCTGCCAAGGCAAAGAAGAGCAAACGAATGGCCATGGGAGTGTCTGCCTTAACCCACAGCCCCAGCAGCTCCTCCATCAGCTCCGTCAGCTCGGTGGCATCGTCTGTTGGGGGCAGGCCCAGCCGCAGCGGGCTGGTAAGTGGCTCTTTGTAAGGACCGTGCAGCCTTGATCCTCTTCTTCTGTGACCTGGCTCTACAAAGTGGGAGAGTTGGGGTTTCATTTCAGCAGCTGCACTGGGGCAGCTGCTCCTTCACCATCAATGTGATGGGGATGTGGAGTGTGGGATACTGCCACCCACCTTGCAGATAGGACTCCCTCCATGGACGCAAGAGTCGTAACAGACACGGAGCAGTTGTGACCATTAAGGAGCCTGAACTACTGTTTCCAAGGGGACAAATCTGAGCTCCACTGTCAAGAGCTGGTTTTATGTAGCATCCCTGCAGAAAAATGCCATTGCTTCTTGTCCCGCGTGGTTGTGTAGCAGTATGCTGCTGTCTTGAACAGCTACGCAAAAGCTCCTATAATGAGTGTGTTTTACTGTGGAGGGGTGGCACTGTCCTGGATCACATGCCTTGTGCTTTGGCAGCTACTCAAGAAGGCAGACACCAGAGAAGGCAGCAATATTATTAAAAGCTCTGACTCTGCCGTAGTGTTTGCTGCATAGCACCTGCAGTCATCATGGTTGGGGACGAGGGTGCAGTATCCAATACTAGGAGTGATTCCAAGTAGTCTATACCAGTCTCCAGTTGAGCTCAGTCCTCCCAGCTGAGCTCCCTGTTTGGGGCTGCACCAGTGCAGGTCATCAGTAAAATGTATTTGAGAAAGCAGATGGTACAATACATGATAATTTTTCCTGACCCATTCCCACCCTACATCCTGTCCTTTGGGAAATGGTCCTTCCATTGCAGTGTAGAAGAGCTATTGAGCTTGTGAGCGGTGTCCAGACATTTTGCAGACTTGTTAACCCCACCTGTAGAGTCCACTGCTGGAACTGCAGCTCTAATAAATGATCAATAGGTGAGATCCATTCCAGATTTAACATGAGACTTCAAACTGTGCTAGACTGGGAAGGACATAGCTTTACCAGTCACTTTTTAACTCTCTTTCCAGCTGACAGAGACCTCTTCTCGATATGCCCGAAAAATCTCTGGCACCACAGCTCTCCAGGAGGCACTGAAGGAGAAGCAGCAGCACATCGAACAGCTACTGGCAGAGCGTGACCTGGAGCGGGCTGAGGTTGCCAAAGCCACCAGCCACATCTGCGAGGTGGAGAAAGAGATTGCCATCATGAAAGCCCAACACGAGCAGGTAGGAGGTGATGTGGCTTTATCACTAGCACTCAAATATCTGGCATCCTCTGAAAGTTTCAGATCATAATGTTACCCCTGTATAGCTTCCTGATGTGAAACCTGGGGTCTGAATTTCTGCCTTTTAAGTGGAGATAGCTTCCTGCATGGTGGGTTAAGCTGAGGCTCTTTCTCCACTCCTGCCAGTGTGACGTGTTCTCTCTGCCCCAAGCCAGGAGCGGAAAAAAGGGCTGTGCCAGAAAAAAGACAGTAGATAGTTTGTCTCTGTTGGATCAATACATTTGAATGCTGAAATGCAAGTGGAGGGCAAACTTGTGCCCTTAGCTACCCGACCTGGCCTTGGCCATGACTGCATTGCAGTGTTTTTCGATGCTATCGGGCACTGCTGAGAGTATCAGCTCAGTTCATAGGTCACTGCTTTCCTGCCAGAGAGGATGTTTTTATCACATTAATAAAGTCAAGAGATCCGTAAGGAAAACGGGCTGATCATATTAGCTTTTTTTTGCACAAGCATTTGTACAAATTATGTTTTATGCACCTGAATGCTTAGTGAGGAGTTGTAGTTGTGCTATTTGTCAACATGTGGCTCTTCAATGACTGCTGTTGCCCTAAATTCCTTGCTCATGTTTATAATCCCCAGTCAGCTACTAGGGAGCAGGGATGGCACTGTATATCTTTGTATGGTGGGCCACACCTGCCTGTCAGAAGTGCAAGAGAAACTGGCAAATCGACTGCTAGCTGACATCCTCCTTGTGTATAGTGTTTTCTGGTAATTACCGTTAACAAATTAATTAAGGCAAGTCTGAAATGTCTCTCTTGCAATTCATTCCTCGTCATGAAGCACCTGGTAACCTCATACCAGAATTTCAAAACTGTTCAGGCTTCAAGTTCTGCACGCTTAATCAGAGCTGGATTCTCCAAAGGGTTCAAGTCAGAGAGGCATTGAAGCATGGATCAAATTTACAGCTGCTGGAGACTAAGCAATTTTTTTCTTCTTCATACCTACATACTGGGCTCTTTGGAAGAATTTACCTTCTTACCGTAGCATCCTCTGAAACAGATCATCAAAACCTTCTGTCCCCTTGTTCTGATCCTTTTTTTAAACAACTCTGTACCTCAAACATTGTTAACTTTTGTGGCTCGGGCTCTTTTTTTGCTGCAGTACGTCACAGAGGCAGAAGGAAACCTCCAGCGAGCACGAGCCCTAGTGGATGGGATGCAGAAGGAGAAGATTGAGCTGTTGAACCAGCTGGAAGAAGAGAAGAGGTAAAGCAGGAGTGGATGGGTGTGGAGGAGGTGAAGTCATGGGGGAGATGAGGCTCTTGCCTGAGAACGTCGTTCATTGGGTCTAAGGAGAAGAAAGTGGCTGGGAAAGTCATCTTTGGATGTCTTCCAGTCCTTCAAATATGCTGTGTTTCACTCTCCTAGCCACTGTGGTCTGCCTGCATGTAGGGAAGGGGCGCGCTGCTTCAGGTAACGGGATGTTTAGAATAATTTTGCTGCAGTTGCGCATCTGATGTGACTCTTGTCTAGGGTTGGGCATCCAGTACCGTGACTGCGCCTGTTTGCTGTCAAACTGCTGTTAATCGTGACTGAACAATGAAGTATTTACAATAAGTCTTGTACATTCCTCTGTCTTACGGCTCTTAGAGGAGACTCAATGCTATATCATTCGTTGGGGTTGCAGTGAGATAATCTTTGTGACGTGAGCAGTCTCGAATGTTTTGAATATGCTCAGCTGAACCTGCCCTGCTGTTGCAATGCAACTGAAAAGCAGAAGGCAAACAGCCAGCCAGGGCAGCTCGCATTTGGGATGGGGCAGCTCTGTTTTGTTGCCAAAGGGAGTTTCATGATTTGACACACTTTCCTGCCGAATGCATGTAATGCTTTTTAAGGAAAAAAAGGACACCGTCAGCTTCCATTCCTGATTAGGACTTTATAAGTGCTGGCACTTCTTTGATGACCCTGATAAATATTTGACAGGCTGCTTGCATGTTCAAGAGCATTTGACCACGGCACATGTTGCACTGGCAAGACGGTGGTGGCCAACAGTTGATCTACCACTGCCAATAGAAGGCCAAATGGTCTTGGTCTCTTGCTGGGCAGTGAAGTTATTGAGGGTTTTCAGCCATCTTCCCTGTTGTTTGGTTCCCAACACAAAGCAGGGAAAAGCTGCATTATTTGCCCGAAGGAACGAAGGGGTCCAGTATTATCAGTTACTCTGAGATTTGATACCCTGACCAAACTCAGCCGTGTCACTGTGTAAAATGGAATTACTCGGTAAAGGTGGGATTACCTGATGGCAAGGGTGTGGACAGTGACAAAGCCTTGTCTTTGGACGTTCTTGGCTAAGGATACAGTATAAAATAACAGTACTAGATAATAAACAGAACTGGGCCAAGCTGGGCCATCCCAGACCCCTAACCTTTCTGTACAACCTGCCTTTGCTAAAGACCTCTTCTTTCCCCTCTATTTGTGATGT